GGGAGTAGCTCGCGAGCTCCAGTCCCGGACGATGATGATGACGAGGAGTCAGAGACGGAGTCCAAGAGAGAGATCCCTCCATCGGAGGAGGAGACCAGTTGCAAAAAGCAAGACAGCTGTCTTAAAATATCTGCAAAAGCAGATGCACAGTAGTCGGCCGGCCAAAAATGCCATTTTGGCAAAAAAGAGTGCCGACCGGCACTAAATAGTGCTGACCGGCAACAAATAGTGCCGGCCGGCAATATACATTGCCGGTGGCAGCAAAAACCAGCCGGTGGCCTCTAGCCACTGCCGGTGGTGGGTGGGGATGGTCTACAAGCCCTACCCTGCCTCTCAAAGGCAAGATGTCAATGTTTGGTGCAAAACCAGACACTAAACGGTCGGGTTCGGAGATCCTAAGGCAAGGCGCGTAGCCGAGACCTCCGGGAACTCCAAACGAACACAAACATGGATAATCACCGAGTGTTCAAACGGTGACGTCCAAGTCTTGAGGATGGTCAAAAATGGGGTGTCTACAACTGCGAGGAGTTGCAAGCTCCTAAGCAAAATGTCATTATATTTTAAATAACATTAGGTTAATCAACAGAAAATAAGTTGTATAACGATTTTGCCCTTCAAATAAAGCAACTATGTTTTCAATTGTCTTTATTTGGAACGAGATTCAAAATTCAGGATCAAATGTGTCACAATTGAAAGGTTGGGGAGAAAAGTGACACAAATTCCAAACTATAAGAATTTTCAATGTAATTCGCCCTTATTTTTAATATTGTTCAATGTGTTTAGATTTATAAAGCTTGTTTAATTAAAAATTATACGAATCGATATAAGAAATCAATTTCTTTTCTTTAGCAATTTTTTTTTTAAATTTTATTTTATTTTTAATGATGAAACACCAATAAATTTCAAATAGTGATTTTATGAACTGTTTGATCCCCCTTTTTTTTTTTTTTTCTTTTTTTTTATAGACCCAAATGTCATATTCTAATGTGAATCACATAAAGGGACAAGTATAAACGCGTGTGTTATGTCTTGAGGGACAAATGTGAGTTTTCTCATAATATTAAAATTACTAAACGTAACGCTAAAAAAAAAATCATTAGCGTACTTTTTCCAAACATAACACTCTAATGTAAGACTTTAATGTAACATATTAAAAAAAAATTTGGTATACTTCTCTCCAACGTAACACTCCAATCAATAGAATACACAAAAACTCCTTAGTGTTTTTTCCAAACGTAACACTCCAATATAATATACTAAAAAACTCCTTAGTGTATTTTTTTCAAACATAACACTCCAATGTAACATACTAAAAAACTTTTTAGTGTACTTTTCCCAAACGTAATAATGTAACATTTAAAAAAAAATTCTTAGTGTATTGTTTTTTAAACGTAACAATCTAATCAACGCAACACATAAAAACTCTTTAATGTACTTTTCTCAAACGTAACACTCCAATATAACATATTAAATTTTTTTTTTATTGTATCTTTCTCAAATGTAACAACATAACATTTCAAAAAAACTCATTAGTGTATTTTTTTTAAACATAACACTCCAATCAATGTAACACACAAAAATTCTTTAGTATATTTTTCCCAAACGTAACACTCCAATGTAACACACTGAAAAAAATTTAGTATTTCTGTCTCAAATATAACAAGGCAACATTTCAAAAAAACTCCTAGTGTATGTTTTCCATATGTAACACTCTAATCAATGTAACACATAAAAAGGGGTGGGCTTCCCTCCAGTCGGTGATCCGATTGGAGGGTACTGTTGGACTCGTGGAGGTCCACCACGGGCCCTGTTTTGATAATTCAAACTGTTCAATATGTAGAACTCATTGGGTACTATATACTTGTAAAATATCACGTTGATCTGATATCGATAGCTATCTTATCAGATCAGATTTCTGTCAACTGTTTATTTTTTTACCGTCAATTTTTTTTTTATACAAAATTGATTTGATCACGTAGTTATCGATATCCGATTAACGTGATTTTTTACAAGCATATAGTATTTAACAAGTTCTACATATTGAACAGTTCAAATTATCGAAACAGGACCCGTGACGAGCCCCCACGGGTCCAGCAGTACCCTCCAGTCGAACATCGACTGGAGGGAAGCCAGCTCCACATAAAAAGTCCTTAATATACTTTTTTTCAAACATGGCACTCTAATGTAACACTCCAATGTAATACGAAAAAATCACAGTAACCGAAATGTAGATTTTTACACTCGACAAACAACACTTCAGTCACCAATCCTCCCAAAAAGAATTTTCTATACATCACTTGTTCGACTGGAGGGTCCAGTCGATGTTCGACTGGAGGGAAGCCAGCTCCACATAAAAAGTCCTTAATATACTTTTTTTTTTCAAACATGGCACTCTAATGTAACACTCCAATGTAATACGAAAAAATCACAGTAACCGAAATGTAGATTTTTACACTCGACAAACAACACTTCAGTCACCAATCCTCCCAAAAAGAATTTTCTATACATCACTTTTTCATTCATATCTCAAAAATGAATCAGAAAATTAGAAACATAAATCACAAAACGACATTCACTTAAATTCAAATGACGCCAAATTAAATAAATACAATTTTTTAGAACAAAAAGAACTAATTAGTTTATAAAAAAATTCTTAAGACTAAATGGATCAACATTCTCCCATATGAGATTTATAAATAAAATTTTTTATTTTCAAATTCAGTTTACACCAATTAAATAGATTATGTTCTTAGATTAATTTTTTGAGGAGCATTATATGAAAATTTTTGAAGCACAACTCTGGTACAAAATAAGATTTCTCAAGCTAAAAAGTTGTTTTTATTATTTATTTTTTTATTTTAAATTTTTGGAGAGAGAGTGGGAGGGGTGTTTACTAGAATCTTTGAGTGTCAGACACCCACAAATCTGAGAGTGTAGATCCTCTCCTTGCAAGAGTTTACGTGCGTGCGTCCTTGCAACGGCTGAGATTAGCCGTTGCACATCCAACGGCTGAGATTAAAAAAAATTAAATTTTTTTTTTTGAAATTTCACTCAAAATCCCGCCCGTTGCTAGTTATATCACTCAGCTATATTTCACTCAGCCTCGCACGAAGCCGTCCTCCTCCACCGAACTGACCCTCCCCGGCGAGCAGTCCCCTAGACGGCACCGGCGACGACCAGTCCCCCAGACGGCATCGGCTGAGCGAAGAAATTTGTTCCCCAGGTTTGTATTTGAAACTCCTGCACTATGAATTGGTTCTGATAAAAATTAGAGCTTTCACTGTCACAAAAATTAGGCTTCCACTGTGCATATTGTTGTTGATAATTTTAGTATTGGTTCTGATCTATTGTTGTTGACTGGTTGTGAAATCCGAAATGTGAAATTTAGGGCTTTCAAAATCAGTATTGGTTCTGATATATTGTTGTGAAATCCCTAATGGGAAATCCGTAAATATGAAATCCCAAATTTCAAAATTTTTCGTAAATGATGGCAAATGGTCAGAAGAACATTACTGATTTAATTTATCCCATTCCTCCTAAGAAATAACAGAATTGGAAACATATATTATTAAGGATTTGCTTTAAATTTTTCATATTTTGTTTGATGATAATTGTATTTTGGTGTCTGTGAATCTATGTTTAATGGGTTTGTGTTTTTTGCATCTATTTTTGGTGTAAAGAAACAGTTGTATTTTTACCTTTGGATCACCTCATTAGAGATAAACATGTAGTTCTCGAATTTGTTCTTGTTTGTATCTATTATAATTGTTTATGATTATGTTATTGTTCTTGCCATTGTTGAGTTTCGGTTTTGAGATTTATGAGTCCAAGTCCAAAATTTGGCAAATCCTCTACAGGGATCCACAGCTATAAGTAAGCAAAGAATGTTGCTTCAATAGCTCCTAATAAATGTCTAGCTTGATACATTTAACATATCTTCATACACCCAGCAAAGTCACTTCAATTAGGGTCCAAGGTTCAGTTGATCAGTGATCCAGGCATTTTCAAATAAATAAGTCCCTCCCTCCCATGATCACCCATAGCAGCAACCTGTTAAAAAAGGATCAATGGAAGAACTATTATATGATCTTAACTAACAAAGGCTGGAGCATTGTTAGTGAACAGTTACTGCGTAACGTTGCATGCAAATTTTGTTGTCTTTATGTTGCATAATTGGTGAAAATAAATGACATCAAATACAGAAGGAAATAAAACTATGGTTTGGAGAAAGTATATGTAATTTCATTGAGTTTGTTCTCTTATTTTAAAAACATGGTTTGGAGACAAGCATGTTTGGCAGGCTGGCATCAGTCCTGGGCTTTATCTGCGTGGTAGACCAATCTCATGATGGGCTCAACGCTGAGAATTTTACTAAAGGTTTGAGATGGCCTAAGAATACAAAATATTCACACAATCCCTCCTGAAACAGAATTTTACTATGACTTCTAATAAAGTCACTTGCAGGAAATGAACAATAGCTGGCCCTAAGTAAATGGAACAAGGCTTTTTGAGTTAGTTGGCTTTTTCAATTTTTGTCTTCATAACGCTTGTTTGGTAAAACTTATGAACACTTTTTTTAGGCTTGATTTTTTGAAATGTGTGTTGTGGGTTGTTATACTTTGGCAATGTGTGTTGTTTTGTTTGGATAAATTTTGAACCCTTTTTTCTCTAGCTCAAAATAACTCAAAAACATTTTGAAAAATGGTAGACTTTGAAAAATGGTAGATTTTGAATGCAGATTTTGAGTTGATGCTCAAAATAACTCAATATGTGTGTGTTGTTTTGTTATACTTTGTATGCAGATTTTGAAAAATGGCTTCTTCTTCTAACATTAGCGACATTAGATTACAACCGAGGCTATGCAATTGTGGAAGAACCGCTGCCTTACATATTGTAAAAACCAATGAAAATGGAAATGAAGGGCGTATGTTCTTTGTTAGCCCATCAAGATATGTAAGTTTGTAATTCTAACTATTTTCTTCGTTGAGTAGTCACATTGATATTTGTCTTGTTCGACTAACTTATTCTCATGCATTGCAGAGTAAAACTCCCACTCCCCATTTCAATTACTTCAAGTTCGTGGATGAAGATAATGATGCCGTTACGTCCAGAATTCGTTCGAACTGTATAGCGTGTGATGGTATAATAGTACAAGACTTTGACGATGTACGGACGAGGCTTCATTACATGGAAACGAACTATGCTCGAAGGCTTGAAAGGATGGAAAGGAATATCAAAGCGATGGTGTACTTCATTGTATTTGCTACCATTTTCTACTTGATTATGTAACTTGGTAGTTTGTAGCATCTTCGGTTATATGTACATGAACTTGTTATGTAATATCTATTATCTATTTCCCTGAACTTGTGGCCTCAACTTTGGAATGAATGATGGAATGACTTTTGGAATGCATTTTGGAATGAAGTTGGCACATTTTCGAATGAATGAATCAATTTTGGAATGAATGAATGAATGAATTATCTATTATCTGCTAAATGGAGTATGACACATTTTGGAATGAATGAATGAATAAATGAATGATGAAATTTTGGAATGAATGAATGCATGGAATTTTGGAATGAATGAATGAATGGAATTTTGAGTATGGCAGCATCAGATCATGTTGAATGAATTCTGAGTATAGTAGCAGGAGATCCACCATATCTGTTATCTGTGATATATATGTTGAATGAATGATGGAATGAAGCTGTAGCAGACATTGGAGTGATATTGTGATATTGCTATCTGTTATCTGTGATGTTGCTATCTGTGATATTGATATTGTGATGGAATGAAGCTGTAGCAGATCCAACATTTCTATGTGTTACCAAGCCTTGTTCACTGCTATGTGATATTGTGTTGAACTATAGCAGATTCAGACCACACCACACCAGACTAGCATATGCAGACCATACCAGAACCAGACCAGACCAGAACAGAACCAGACCAGACCAGACTAGGCCAGAACTAGCAAATTCAGAGCAGACCAGACCAAACCAATGCAGACCAGACCAGACCAGCAGATGTAACACATGTTACGGCACATTACAAGATTTTACAAGCCATTAACATACATACAGGTACATACATCAAGGCATTACAAAAAAACACAGTCATTCTCATTAAACACAAAGCATTACTTGAGAAGCCATTTGCAAAAAAAACAGTCATTCTCATTAAACACAATCAGAATTTCGACACACATACAGCAGTAGTTTCAACACACATGTTTAACACAATTTCAACAGACATTGGAGTGGAGTTTGAACAGCAATTTCAACATCACTTTCCAGCCAGCAAGGCATTTGAACACACATAAAGGCCATTACTTCACTTCTCAGCAACATCAGAATTTGTGCAGCAATCCAGCATGAGTTTGCTTCACAATTTGAGATGGTATCACTTCACTTTGCATGCCATTTACATCTTCAGTTTGCTTGTCTTTGTGCTTGTCCATAGCTTGAAATGGACAAACACAGAATTTAATTGAAAAAAAAAAACTACAAACAAAAACTACTTCAAATTTAATTTTCAGCAACTCAAAATCCAGAATTTTAAGCAATTACAAATTCAAAAGACATCAAGGACAAACCTAACTCCACATTGGACTGTTTGATTCTTGAGAATATCGAAACCCAATGTCATATCCATATGAACCTTGAAGTAGTGACTGGAATGTTGGTTCAGTAGGATACCTTTGCGGCATTAAATTTGGCACTGAATTATGCACTACGTACATGTCCTGTAAATTGGCAAAGAACAATGTCATATATTACGCTTCGCAATTACGGGTTGAGTCACATATTATATCCATAAAAAAAATACATATATTGTACTAACACTTACAAAAAAATACATACATTGTACTAACACTTACATGATGTGTGGGATTCATCAATGAGGGAGGAATAGAATTACCACCCATGGGCAAAGATGGAGGAAAAGGATGAAGGGGAGGAAGAGGTTGAAGATGAGGAACATGTTAACGAACATAGATATCTCCTCCAACAGGTAATGAAGAAGGTGCAACTGTTGGACTTGCAACTGATTGTGACGAAGTCAAGCTGTTAGCACGGGATTTTTTTTTGGAGTTCGCTACCAACGCGGCTTCGAATCCACCTTTCACCCTCCTTTTGCCCTTACTAGTTGCCATCTTTTTCTTCAATCCTTTTGGTTGCACAACATGATTCACATCTTCGCAATCCACTTCAACGCTTTCGGTGTCATGATCATTACTTCATTTCCAACACCAAAAAGAGCACCTAACTTGCCTTTAACATTTGCACCTAATGTAGCAAGGTGTGCAATACAAAAATCATAAGTTTCTTCAGTTTTAGCAGCTCTACTTGCTAGTGCTCTAAATGCGGTCATCAATGTCTTACACCGCGAGGCTTGTTGGAATTTCACATCCACTTCAATGTCATTCCCTTTAATGTCCATCACAGTTTCGGCTTTTGCTTGTTTGGTCCACCTCTTTGGAATGTATTGTGGAGGAACCTCTTTCATCTTCAATATGTCTCTAATAACCTTCAATGAGTGGCAACACAAGATTCCTTCCCTTTCAAACTTTGTACAATTACAACCCAATGATCCATCCCTCTCCATCTTCACTTTCCTTGCATGTTTGTTACCAACATCAACAACTGTGTAAATGGTACCAGCCTCGCCATATTCAATTGCTTCTATGTTCGATTCAATGGATCGAAAGTACTCATTTTGAAATTCCTCAAAAATCCTTTTTGTGTAGACATTACCCATTTGAATTAACATTCTTATGGTCACTTTCACCTTTGGCAACCTTTGGCACAAAGCATATCCTGCTTCTAACTCCATGTATCGCTTCTCGTAAAGTACCCTTTCAAAATGCATAAAGAATTCATTCAAGTTAAAATCAGAAAGAATGTAATCCTTCAAAAAAGCATTAAAAGATTCACTGAGTTGTGTAGTACTTATTCCCACAGCCCATGTTGATCTAACGTAAGGCCAACCCCATTTTTTTTTCACCGCAAAAGTCAATTTCAACCAATGATTTTCATGCGCATCATATTTATCAAGCATTGCCGCCCACTCTAACTTTCATTGATTTGCATCTTCAATGTCAAAGAAGAATTTATTTAGTACACCCTTCACCCCCTTATCTTGGAACAAACAGTTAACATGTTTTAATGTATTTTGCATCAAATGCCAAGTACACAATCGGTGAGTTATGTCAGGCATAACAATGGGTATGGCTTTAGCCATTGAAGCATTTTGATCAGTGAACAAAGTTTTTGGTGCCTTTCCTGACATAGCCTCTAGAAAATTTTGAAACAACCATACAAACGATTCGGCGGTCTCATCATACAACAATGCTGCACCAAATATAACTGTTTCCCTGTGATGGTTGAATCCCACAAAAGACACAAAGGGTCTATGTTCTTTGTTTAACTTGTAAGTAGTATCAAAAGTGACAACATCACCAAATTGGGCATAATCCATGATCATTTGGGCATTGGCCCAAAACATATTCGTTATTTGCTCTTCATTATCTAATTGGAAAACATAAAAGAAGGAAAGATTCTGCAAAGATTTTTCTTTAAAGTATTACAACACATTGCCTACTTTCCCATATGCTAAACTTTGTTGTCTTTTGGTTTTCAAATAATTTTTAGAATCTAATTTTGTAAACCCAAGACATTGCCTCCCACCAGCTTCCCTACCCATGAGTTCGAAAGACTGGCCTAAACGAAGACCAGATTGTGCCGCCAAATCTAACTGAATTGCTTGGGTAGTTGATATCTTTCTTTGTGACGGCAACATGTGGGCACACTCGGGTGATATAAGATCATGGTTATGTTTTTCTTTGAAATCTGTCACAACATATTTCCCAGTACCGTCATCTAATTTGACATAAAGTCGAGCCTCACAACCGGTCCTAGTTCCGGCTCTAGGATTTTTTGACAATGGGTCTCGTTTGTCACCCTTCCGAAATCCCTCCTTGTTGTAAACCAAAAGTCTACAAATAAGTTGGTTAGTGACCTTGTTCTTCCTACAAAAATCCCTTCTTATGCTAAACCCCATTCTTCCTCCATATGTATTATAAAAATCATACACACATTGTTCAGAATCAAATGTCATTTCCTGTTTTGGCTTTCAAGCACAATCATTCTCAGGTTCCATATCCATATGAAAATGCAACTGAAAACCCATATAAATAAAATCTTAGCTACATAAATAAAAAATTCATCACATTCCAGTAAAACCTTATCTGTTCACATGACTGATTAAATAAATTATGTTACAAAAATCATTTGGCAAACCTCTGATTAAATACTAAAATTGATTAAATAGAGTGAAACTGATTACATAGAGTGAAACTGATTAAATAGAGTAATCTTCAAAATCTGTGTTAGACCAATGAAATCAATTCAACATATTTACTTTTAATTTGAAGATTTTGTTACAAAAATTATTATAAAATCAATTTCAGTAATCATGTGGGGGTGGTTTTAAAAAGTTTTTTTAAAAAAAATATCAACAAAATTTTGATTACATACATAATTAAAAACCCTATTGATTAAATAAAATTTTGATTAAATACTCTATTTCATTAACATATATGTTGAATTAAAAGTAAAATCTGTGATTTCAAAATCTGTGGTTTAACACAAAATAAATTAACACATTGGTCCATTAAAAGTAATCTTCAAATATTGAAACTGATTAAACAGATTTTGAAACTGATTAAAATCTTAAAATACAGAAACTGATTGAAAGCTTCAGATATAGATAAGATTAAAATCTTCAAATACAAATAAAATCTGTATTTATAAGGTTCTTCTTGATCAATATTCAATCTGTATATATATATCTTCAAATACTGAAACTGATTGCAAGCTTCAAATACAGATAAGATTAAAATTTTCAAATACAGATAAAATCTTCAAATACAGATAAGATTAAGCTTCTTAAGGAAAAAACGCGGGAGTCTGGAGAGAGTAGTATAGTATTAAGCTTCATATACATTAATTTCTGATTTACAAAGACAAAGGGGAACCGACCTGTGGCGTCGTCGGTCCTTGCAACGGCGTGGAGACTGGGTAGACTGGGTCGCCGTTCGGACAAGAACCACTGAGTGTGTTGAATGAGTGTGTGTTTCCCCACGAAGAGTGCAGACCAACTCTGTGTTTTGTTTTGGGCGGGAAAGAATAGAAATTCCATTTTTTTATTTATTTTTTTTTTTAATCTCAGCCGTTGGATGTGCAACGAGCTGAGCAAGGAATCCGTGAAATCCATAATTCGATTCAGTCCAGTCCAATCCGATAGGTTTGGATTGGTTTTTTGAATCCGTGGTTTGGTTCCAGATTGAAAAATTAAAAATCCGTAGTACACAGATTGGTTCTGGATTGAACCTCACGGTTCCGGATTGGAACCGATCCGGACCGCATACAAATAGTATATATTTTTATTATACATCGATGTGCAATGGCTGATCTCAGCTGTTGCAAGGACGTACGCACGTACGTAAACTCTTGCAAGGAGAGGATCTGCACTCCAAATCACCCTCCATTTGCTTCTCTGCATCTAAGAGCACAGTCACAATCACTTAAAAAGCCATTTTGAGATATGGGCTAAAAGATACTTCTCAATTTTTAATTTATTTATTTTTCTTATAAAAAAGTTTTAAAAATAATTTTTAACCATTTTTTCAAAACAATTCCAACTCTTATCATCTTTTATATTTAGAAGTCATTTGAAAAGACCAAAAAAGTTAATTTTTAGTTTTTTACTCATTTTAGGTTACATTACCTCTTATATTTTTTACCCATCAAAAAATAAAATAGACTAAAAAATTAAAACCAACTTTTCAAAACACCACCTAAAATCTTAGTCCTTAATCATCATTTTTACCCTCCATCACTTCCTACCATCGTCACTCTTGATGCATTGTTTTATTTTATTTCTTCTTCTTGATAGGTAAAAAAAGAGAGAATTTATTGATGTTAAAAGACAGGACTACAAGAGAAGCAGAACACGAATACATCAAGAGGGGAAGGCCGGGGGGAAAAAAAAAAAAAAATCAATGCCGGAAAGAGCTATTTCACAAATTGGAGAAAACAATCCAAAAAAAAAAAAAAAAAATGGGGCAAAACCAGGTCAAAATAAAGAAAGGAAAAACAAAAATGGAAATTGACAAGGGACCAACTACCGAAAAAACCTTCCCAAAATAGACCTCGCCACTGGTCCAAAAACAGAGCACCTCACTGCAAGAACTACACAACACTTTTTATCTCCATTAAAAGCATAAATCACCCTTTACCCTCTGCATAAAGACACCTCATAGCATACTGATTCTTCACCCCTTGTTTCATCTCCACTCTACTCCTATCCCACCCATCAAAGATCAAGATGACCCACCTCCGAAATCACCTCCAAGTCTCTATAACTGTGTTTAGTTGAAGGATATGATGAGATAAAATCAAATAGAAAGAGAAAGTAAAAAAAATTGATGAGATTCAAATTTCAAACTATGTTTAGTTGAGTTGAGACATGGGGAAGAAAAAAATAAAAAAAACTTCTTGCTTTCTTTTTTCATGCTTTTTTTATTATAGCCAAATAAAAAGTGAACTGAAATTACATTTGATTTTCTCTTTTTATTTGTCTCATCAAATCTTCCAACTAAATCCAACCTAACCAATCCAAATTCACCTAAATCTAAAGCAATCCAAGTGCTTATAGACACTGGTTATTTAAAAAAATAATAATAATAATCACTTTGCTTGATTCTCATTTTTGTAAAATAATTTTCAGAAAATTCTACACTCTTACTTTTTAGACACATCTAAGTAAGGTGTATCTAAAAAAATTAAAAAAAATGTTTAAAATTTTAAAAATATTCACTAAAAACAAAAAAAAATACGAAAATCAAAAAATTTAATTTTTAAAAAACTTAAACAAAAAAATTCAAACCAAACACAGTGAATAATTCTCATAGACAATTCCAGATCCACCTTCAAATAGTGCAATGTGAAAAGATCCGCTTTATTTGTTGTAAATGTTGCTTTTAGCTGTGGTGATTGGTTCGCACGAAAATTGGCAATATTTCACCCATATGTGATCTTGGGGGTGGCAGGGGTTGTCAGAGGTGGTGGTAGGGTAGCCGTGGCAACCTTTGGAGGTGAATGTGGTGATGATTGAAAAAAATATAGGATTAAGATTAAGGTTTGAAACTTATTTTTTCTCTTAAAAAAAACATTTAGTTTGAAAAGTTACAGATGATTTACGATTAAAAAAATAATTAATAAGTGAGCATTTAAAGAAAAAAAAAGTAAAAATTAAAAGCACAGCTTTAAATATATAAGTGAAAAAATCATAAGAGTAACTTTTCAGAAGGTTTCACAGATTTTTTCTTTTTCACTTCTCTCAATAATTTTTCATGAGCCTCTTTTACATGCCTCTCTCTATTTTCGATTTCTGTGAGTCTTGGCATTATCACCGTTGCATAATACTGCACTGCATTCTCCAACTGTGCATTTTTTCTTTTTAGCTCTTTCTTCTCCTTACCCATATTCACTACTTGTTGTTTTAACAAGCACACCTCATCTCTCCATTGCTGATTTTCTTGTACTCTTGCTTATAATCGTCGCGCCATATTGGAAACTGCAGTCATGGCCTGTGTACTAAGAGCCGTAGTATTATTAGTAGCATCGATATCATTTCGATTACCAATAATACTAGAACCCTTATTTACAGGCATAGCATGTGCCTGCACCACTGGTACTCACTCATTTGCCTGCATTACAGGCACCTTATGCAGGTCCGACTCATTAATAGATAAGGTAAGGAATGACATAATTACAAAAGACGGTAAAACAAATTTTTCTCTCCAACACTTGATGATTTCGTATCTTTGCCTATGATCTGTGTCACTTTTTATACACTCCATCGATCCATTACTCGATGCATATTTGCTCAAATCTTTTGTTTGTCAATATTTTTTGCACTCGAGATGCTCCAAAATCCCCACAATGATTCCGACAAGACAGAAGGCCCATTATTTTATTTTTGGCCGTTCAGATTATTTTATCAAATGTGTTTGTTTCATCTCTTCGTCTTTTATTTTGATGATGTCAAAGGGGGAGAAAAAATATGATTTTGCTTTTGAAAATTATATGTTGCAGGGTTATCAAATATTTTGTTAATTTTATTTTGTGTCAAATCCATACAAATATTGCCATCATCAAAACAGGGGAGATTGTTAATCATATTATTTAATTTTGATGATGTCTAAAATATTATTTGCAAAAATCTGAATTTTTTAATATACATATTATTTGACACAAAATATTACCTATTTAAAATATATATATTTGTTAAATATTATAATAAAAATATTTTTGAAAACTTTACTATTCACTTTTTGAAAATTTAGGCTGATCACTATTCACTTTTTGACAAAATTAAATTTCATTAGTTATATTATTATGACAAAATTGATTGATTGGTTGTAATATCTTGACAAATGTGATATTAATGAGTTGTCTTCTTTTGACAAAAGTGATATATCCAAATGGAGTGGTAGGTTATGTTGAGTTGAAAATCTCTACAAAAAATTAAAAATGGTATATATGATCAGATCTATTATAAATATTACTTAAAGGAATTTTACTATATATGCAAATATTTGATTAGAATATTATATAGAATGCATATAATATAAATAGAATATATCACGTGAGCAATTAAACTTTTTACACTACATTGATTATATCATATGTAGCTTAGGCTTTTCCTCTGTTTGCTGCTGTGAGCTTTCTTTTGGGATACGTTTGCCTTTGTTTTTGGGCTTCTCTGGTTTAAAGCTTCCTTTATTCAAAAAAAATATAAAAAATAAATCTATATAATAAGACAGAACGGTTTTTGAAAATATGTAAAATGTATCAGAGATACATTTTAATTTAAGGGCTCAGATCAATTGTAATACACATCAATGGTTGAGATTTTGCTTCAATTCCCACCCAAACACTCGATGCTCTGTCCCACCTACCCACGTCTCCTCCCCCATTCCATCTTTATCTCTTCTCTGTTGCATGTCTCCTCTCATTCCCTTCTTATCTCTATCTCCCTCTTTGTTCCTTTTCTGTATCTTTCTCCATCTCTCTCACTCGATCTCTGCCTTTCCCCCTCTCCCCCTACCTTCCCGCTCGCTGCCTCTCCCCCTCCACCCGATCTCTGTCTCTCCCCCTCTCCCCCCACCTTCCCACTCACTGCCTCTCCCCCTCTCCCCCCTTTCGCAACCCTCCCACTCACTTTCTGAAGGCTAGGGTTTCCGATTAAGAACCGCGATACCTCTCTGAACCCCGATTGGAGCTCTCCGGTAGAGCTACTTCAGAGCTACACCAAACCTGAGGCTTCTATCTGGGCAAGGTAATGTTTCTGTCTCTATTCCTCTTCTCTCTCTATTCACGGTTTTGGAGGTTTTGTGAATGATACCTCCAACTTGGGTAATGTTTCTGTTTTTTTAACAGTTATGTTTGATTATGTGTGGTTCAATTTTCAGGATTTTAACAATGTTAATTAGTCTAGAATTTTTTGTTTTTGTTTTGTGCAAGTAGATTTCATGTTAATCTTTCAGTGGTTTTACTTAATGGTAGTTAAGAAATGAAGCATACTGTATAAAAAAGATGATTCTTGCTCTTTATATCAAAACTGTAAATTTGGGGATTGTAGATGATTCGTGTATGTGTTTTTTTAAAGTAATCGTCCAATTCGTAATTTGGGAATTTATTGATATTATTATTCTTTGATTTTTGGGTATGAAAGAGGAAAGAATTTAATAGTTATCACGTGTGCTTTAGTTATGATGTTTGTGCTATCAATCCCATTTCATTCATGGATACAAAAAAATAACAAAAATTGAACTTTTCTGCAGCCCAGGTATCTGAGTAAACTTCTTCCGGATTCCGCACCAAATCAACCAGAATCATTGCAAGATGTTCTCAGTGGTGAAGTTTCTTAATCCTGTGCATACTTTTAAACTATTTCATCAAGAGGCCTAAAAATTAAACAGAAAAATGTTTAATTGCATACACCATATCAATGTATATACCAACCAACCGAACTAAGTAATGTGTCCCACTCAAATGGGGTTGGCAACATGAATCCTTTCTTCGCTATTTTAATTGTGGGTGCAGATGTCCGGTCAAAGATCTTACCAGGGGTAACCCATTGGCAAAGCCCGGATTATTTTGCATATTTTCCCTCTAATAGTAGTATCACTGGATTTTTAGGAGAAATGCTCAGTGCTGGTATTAACATGGTGGGTTTTAGTTGGATAACTTCTTCTGCAGCAACAGAACTTGAAATGATTGTCCTGGATTGGCTTGCTAAACTTCTTAAGCTTCCTGATGATTTCCTTTCAACAGGTATAGTTTGCTATGTCTATATTTATTAGCATTTGATTCTTGTAGTAACTTGGAAGGTACAACTTTTTCCCAGTTCAAAAATAAACATTCTTTTTTCTCAAGACAAAAGAGACCTTTGCATTTGCCTTTTTCATTTTGATGGTTGATGTCATTCAAGCTGAGGTGGTTAATAGATTTGTTAAAGAGAAGAAAAATAAAAAAAGATTTGGTGCTTTATTTTTTAGACATTATAAAATGGCAACTTAGCTTTATATGTTACTCTAGGCGGAGGCGGACTTGGTGAGCTTTAATTAATCTGTTGGACTAGAATTCTGAATATAACTTACGGCTTTAACTAAGTTTGGTTGACGAGAAGTGAAAGGATATAAAGAGTGGGTGAATACCTAAGCAGAAAGGACAAAAAGAAGGAAGAAATAGGAAGTGGGTAGTCAATTGGGTAGATCTGTGTTCTTCCTTGGTTGTTGAGACCATACCAATCATTTAGAACTTCATGGAAAGGGCTTTTTCTGGCAAATGGTTATTTTGGTTCAATTATTATATTTTGTGGAATTTTAACAAGATCAATGAAAATGATGATTACGAGTGTGATATTGATTTTTTTTAAGTATATTTGTTTTGTTCAATTTGTATATTTCATTATAGTGTTTGAAACTTGCGAAATTCAATGAAATAAATGAAAAAAACATACTATTTTTGGTCATTAATTTTTTTTTAAAACAACTGTGTTTTTTTTTTAATTTTAATAATGGGCAGGTTTTTGTATATTTGTTTTATTGAAATTCATTTATTTGGGTCAACTTTTAGATCCCTATCTATAAAAATTAGAATTAAATTTTTTTTGTTAAGTTTCTAATTTTTCTCTATAATTTTAGAATTTAGAATTATACTAAGATGAACAATAAGAAGGCAAATATCCCAATTTGATTTAAAGAAATTCTTTAGCCACAACTGCAGATAATGCTGGTGCAGCAATATGTGCTCAAGGTGTTGAGAAGTGAATTAGTAGACATGACAAATGATGCATGACAAGAGCATCATGTAAAATGCTTTCACCATTTGATGACAAGAAACTGATTTTGATATTGTGATGTGAGAAATTCTACAAAACCAAGCCTCTGAAATACCAAATCTTGGATTTTTGTAAGAAGGGACTACATACCTAAATGGAAAAAAATAGGAATAAGCACTTAGTTAAGTTAAAGTCTTGACAGTAAACCTATCATCTATTTTTCATGTTCTGAGTAAAATGGAATGTACTAACCTATCTACGACACATTGTTGTTTTGTAATGTTTATTATGCCTGTGTATTTCTAGGAGTGTGCTTCCTAAAAATGCTCTTTTGGTTTGTGAATTATATAAATCTGTTTCTACATTAACTTGTGTTAACTCCACTATTTGCATCATTGCTGCCTTATTGAATCGTGTGTTACAACAATCCAGGCTGTTGAGATTGGAAAGCAGCTTGCAAGAAAGCACTTCATCCATCATGTCTTCAGGTAACTCACCAACTTATAACATATGACCCGAATCATTCATTGCCTTACCATTCCTCAGAATAATTTAGCCATCAATATATAAATACAATTAATTAATTAATACCACTAAGAAATTTAATTCACAACCTTAATACAGGCTATTGCAACCAACTCCAAGGTAAGGCTATTCATGCGCAATTGCATTAAGTTTGAATTGTGAAAATAAACACCAATTGGTTATTAATGTGTTATTTTTTTGTCTAATCTCTATTTAGCTGGGTATAGTTTCCTTCTCTTCGGTTTCACTTCCATTTGTATCATATAAATTTTATGTGTTTCAAATAAAGACACTTGCCAACATACAAATACTCATAAACTTAATTTTCAATTTCTTTTCAAATTTTCCCTCTGTTGCTCTCCAGCCCTGTTCTTCTTCTTCCATACGCTCGCTCCCGAAACTGCTGCTCTCCAGGTAAGATCACTCTTTTCATTTTATGCGGTGACTATGTACTAGATTTTATTTGTTTATAGATTGTATACATTTTATTTAGATATAGATTGTATAGATTTTTTTTATAGATTCTATAGATTTTTTACAAAGAATTTGGATATAGATTGTATAGATTTTATTTGGATATACATTGTGTAGATTTTTTTATTTATATATAGATTTTTTATAAAGAATCTGGATTGTATACATGTTTTATATATATTATCTTTGTGAGTATATTTTTATTTAGTTGGGTAATGATTTTAGTTTCCGCTTGAAATTTCAAGATTTTATCTTTGTCAGTTTCTGCGATACCTCTCTCTCTCTTTTTTATTTATTTATTTGTGTTTGTGTTTGGCTGGGCAAAAGAATAATTTCTCCTAGGTTTCCTTTTCATAAATTTAATTGTTTTTCTTTCCTTTTAAACAAAGCCCAAAGTAACTGATATAGGTTTGTAGAGTCGTACCTTAAGTTGGTGAGATACATGACCTATGAAATTTTGACAGTACCATATGAAATTGATGTCTGTGGTGGTGACCATTGTTTTTTACTCGGGTTAGAGAAATAGACGTTTTGATGCCCATTTGTGAGGAAAATGAGGAGTAGTGGTAGATGGGGAAAAGAGATGGGGGTAGTGATGGATCATGGTAAGGGTAGCAAATGACTGTCAATACCAAAATAAAGGGAAAAAATTGTCAAACTGTTTAAATGGCCCATATAAATGAATGGTTAGAATTAAAATAATTTCAAGTTAGGATTGATTTGTTACCGAGGTCAAGATTTTGAAGTTTTTTTTTCTTTTTTAAATTTCCCAAAAATCAATATATGAAACCATGAATTACTTGGTATATTTGTCATTTATCCTAGGTATGCATACAATTATAGGGCAGGCTCTAAATGCACTTAAAATTTTATGATGCATTTAAAGCCTCCCAACTACAGTCATATATCACAAACATAAATAATGTCATAGATGGAAGAAGAGTTACAGTACAATGTAACCAACTCCTTGCCAATTTACTGTAACTGACTTCTTGCCAATTCAAGTCAGCAACAAGCACGAAGGCAGTGTAATTCTATGAACACAAAAAGTTAAAACATTTTTTGAACTACCTAATAAAATGAAAGAAAAATTCTACTTGCACAAAGTTTTAGCTCACTATACCTGTTATTATAATATTTTTATTCTTTTATAGGATTACTATTAAGAACTAAAAAACCTTATTGTTTTTCTTTGATTAACCTCTGATCATTTTTTGTAAAGGTTTTATCCGATCGGAATTTGGATTTGAATTCATCTGCAATCTATGATTTTGTAATTGAAAATTCCCAAATTTTGGTCAACAATTTAATAAGATGAATGTGATCAATTTTTTACAATTACAGAATTTATGAATCTGAAACTTGACAATCGACATATTTGGAAATTTGACAATACAGAAAGAATCTCCCTGTTGTATGATGTCAAGTTAAAGGATCAGGTTGTATTAGTTATTTTGCCCCACTAAAAAAGAAAACTATTTGTATGGGAGCTAAATTAATTAAAAAAAAAAAAAAAACTAAGACAATGGAATTTACCTTCTTACTTGATTGATCCACAAGGTCTTCCAGTTGAGGTAAACATTTGCAAGTGTTCAGTGTCGCGGATAGAAGATATCAAGTGTTCAGCTCTTTTATATGGTTTCACTGATTAATGGCTTCTTCTCATGTATTTGGACTTGGTAGGCTGAAAAATTGCTTACAAAGACATTGTCGTACCCACACACATCTAAAGAAGTGTTTGAACAGAGCATCCGAATGCCTATTGGACCTGAATTCAACCCAGTGACAACGGTTGGAGCTCTTAATCGGCTAGAGTTCAATTTGTTGTCAATACTCTAATCACTATAAATTTTATTCATGTTTTAAATTTTTTATTAGATGCATTTCATTCATATCTTTCCAGTGTCAAACATTTTAAAAAATTCACTCCTTACTCTTTGAAAAGAAAAAAAAAAAAAAAAAAAAACCGTTCTTGGACCATAATGCATGTTTGTTCCATGTCTAAAGCATTCTGTTATCCATGTAGACATTACCCATGTCTTTTCATTGCCAATGCACCACTACATCTTTGTCCACTAACCTCTATTGAAAACATTAGGTATGATTAGCAGTTGGATTCCCATCTAAATCTGTATATTAAATTTCTGAATTTGGAGTTTATTTGGGTTACTAATAAATTGGTGTATTGCGTTTCAAGTTCGCTGATTTAGGAAACCGTCGAGTTTGGTATCAAGATCACTGACATTTGTACCGTTGATTTTCTCTGTTCAATTGCTTGATTTTGCTGTGAAATTTGGCTCTCCTTTCCCAGATTTCTTTGTTCCAGCCACAATCAGATCATCGTTGTACCGCTATTCAAAGGTAACTTGAAATGGGCCCCCACGGGCCGAACAAGACCTTGTTGTTTGTGAACCAATCCTGTGCAACTTTTCCATAAAATTCATTTCAAAAGTCTGTGGACGGCAGAATGTGTTGCAATAATTTATGTATAAAATTATTATTATTATTATTTTTAATGAATAGTGTTAACTTTTTAACTTTTTTTAGTAACTTTTTGACTTTTTGAATTATTTGCAACATGCCAAACCAGGCCTTATTCTCGCCTAAGCACTTTGTGCTCTCTCCCTCTCCCTCTCCCTCTCCCTCTCCCTCTCCCACCTATCCACGTCTCCTCCCCATTCTCGCCTAAGCACTCTGTGCTCTCTCCCTTTTTGTTACACGTCTCCTCCCTTTATCTCTCTCTCTCTCTCTCCCTCTCTGTTCTTATTTTTTACCCTTCCTCTTAAACTCGGCTTCGATTTCCCTCTCTTCCCCTCTCCCCCTCTTCCCCCTGCTCTCTTAGTGCTCATTGCTCCCAAGGTAGGGCTTCTGATTGAGAACTGGCTCACCGAATTGACTCCTCTATTCCATGATCAACTTCACCACCACCACAGATTCTCTCTCTGTTTGATCTCTTTCTTCCTCTCTATTCTTCTTCTTTTCTACCTTCCCTCTCGAAACCGGCCTCGATTTCTACCTCTTCCCCTCTCCCTGATTGAGAACTGGGTCACTAAGTTGGCTGCTCTGTTTTACGACCAACTTTACTACCATCACAGATTCTCTCTTTGTTCGACGCCGTCGTCTTTTCTTTCTCTCTCTACTTCAAACCGCCTCTGGTACCTCTCTCGGTAAGCCAATTGTTGTTTGTTGGTGGAATTGAGGTCTATAATGGTTTAAATTGATGTTTTTGTTTTCTGTTTATCATCATCAAAGCATCATCTGAACCTCCGTTGAAAACAGTAGGTGATGCTGTGGTTCAGATAATTGTCTTTTCATTACCAATGTAGTGGTTCGGATGATCCTTTGGTTCAGATAATTGTCAATCTGTTTGATTGAATTTGGGGTTTTATTTCCTGTTTTTATGTGTATGATTTTCATGGCTCTCCTTTCCCAGATTTTCTTGGTTTGTATGTGTATGATTTTCATGGCTTTCCTTTCCTAGATTTCTTTGTTCCAGCCACAACCACATCATCGCTGTACCGTTGTTCAAAGGTAATTTGATTTCTCTATCTCTTCCATTCTCCCTTTGAGTAATTGAGTAATTCAAGTTCGCTGATTTTCTTTGTTCAACCTCATGATTTTGCTATTTGAAGTGTTGGTATAGGGTTCGCTGACTTCGTAATTGAATTTTTCTATAAATTTCAATGCTTTATTTCTATAATTTTTCTGAATTTTCTATGAATTGGTGTATTCACTCCTTACTCTTTGAAAAGAAAAACAAAACAAAAAAAAAAAATAAAATAATCTTATTGGCATAGATTCTGATTGTCCTCTTTTTTTTTTTTCTTTTCTTTTTTCTTCTAGGTTTTTCAGAGTTAAAATTTACCATTTAAGTCGATGGTTAATTATTCCAATTACCTAAAACGTTAATGGGAAAGAAAAAAAATATGAATAAAGATTGAAACTATAAATAAAAACAAGACATCAATATTGAGCCTGAGCTAACACTTTCGATAATTAAAATTTTTCTTAGTTGACGAAAAATTATATGAAATATTTTTGTATAAAATTGAAAAAAATTTCAATTTTTTTCTAATTTTAAAGTTGAAAATATTACCAGTTTAAAATTAAAGAAATTGATAATATTCTCAATTTTAACACTCGAAAAAATTGAAAAATTTATCAAAAATTGATAATATTATCAGTTAATACTAAAAAAAATTGGGAAAATATCTCAGTTTTACTAGATAGTTTCGCAAACTGAGAAATTGTTAGTTTCGTATAGCTAAAAAAATAATTTTTATTTTTAAACAAATTTATATTCAATATTGGTCTTGTTTGATAAATCTCATTATATAGATTCCAAAAATATAAATTTTATTAAAAATAAATGTGTTTTTAAGTTTTGAAACAATAAAATAAAAAGAAAATTGTTGAAAAATCCAATCTAAGGAAGGTCTAAGGTATTAGGTCTAGTGAATTTTTTTTGTTAGTGAGAGGTCTATCCTTTATAAAATAGTTTGGTGAGAAATCATTTTGTTTGTTTTGAATAACATTTGGTTTCCAATTTTACTTCTTAATTTATCTGTT